ATAGATTTTCACAAGGGAGGGTTCAAAGCTAAATGCTACATATCTTAAGCAGGATTGATTCGTTCTACTATCTGTTTCTCTCTTGAGTCTTTATTTTTAAAATTTTCATTCATGTGGGGGATTGTTCGAAAATATTGAATGAAAAGTAATGGAAAGGTCATCTGTTGGAAAGTTACACAGGTAGCTTCATCCATTCAAATCACAATAAGTTTTATCAGTTTTATCTTTAATGCTATAACTCCTATATTCAATGTATTAATAAGCATGCTCTTGTTCTATCTCCCGTTCTATGGGTGTAAATAGATGATGTATCTCGATTGAAAACACAAGAAAAATACGAGCTTTCCTTCTAAGCTTCTAGCATAAAATTTCTTCTTTTTGGTTTTGTTCATTTCCTTCATTTGCTAAAGCTCTTTGAGAGATAAACACAACTAGTTCGTAGGCGGTTAACGTAGTGCAGCTGATCCGAAAATCGATTATATCCTGAGAATTGAATATCGATCAAAACCTCTTGCACTCCAGTGAGGGGCGAATTCGATTTAAGTAAATCGTGTAAACACGGGCTTTCATTTTGATTTGATTCTCCATTATTATCCCACAGTGTTAAGGAAAAACACGAGTCATTAGTGTATGGGAGCTGAGATTTGATATATGCTGCTGGTGTGTTTCATAAACATCAATAGAGTAATATGAATTCTTGAGGCTATGAAAACCCAAAATCATATAAATGAGGCAAAAAAATTCACGTGAAACCCAAAATACAATCCCGTTCAAACTCTAAATCACATGAAAGGATGTGGTCCAATAACAAGGTTGTCTACAAATTCATATACTGCATATATAAAAAAGAAGATGTGGGTACTTAAAAGTTTCATTCCATAAAAAAACGTTAAAATTATTTACCTCCTTGTGGTCACCCTTCTATTGTCTCCAGATTTACTTCTTCAGTGCTTGTCATTAATAGGTCTTGTAGGTCACTTCTGTCCCCTTCTCAAGGAACGAATTTGACGCATTTGACCTGTGGATGAAGTCATTTATTACAGTCCTTAAACATGAATCTACCCGAGCAAAGCAGTTTCAATTTGAGGGCGATTTCGAGTGATTTCAATTCCTTTTTTGCTTGGGAAGATTGGTGTAGACGGAAAGATTGTTTCTTGATTTTGATGGAAATCGATTTGTAGGGGAGAAGAAATTGATTCATAGTTAGGGTCAGTGTAAATAATTGGGAAAATTGAATTTAATTTGGGTAAGAGAAAAAAGGAACGTTTCTTGCATATTTGAAGGGAAAAATGTAAGTTAAATTAATTGTTTTTGTCTAGGTGGCAATAATTAACGGAGTTTGTTGGCACATAGGATTTTCATCCGCCACATGTAACTTTTTGTCTAGGTAGACGGATGGAAAAAATCGGGTTATGGATGGGTAACTTTTTGTAAAAGAGAGTGAGCAGTTAATAATCTTTTATTTTTGAGTGAGAAAGTAGTAACAAGAACTAAATGTTAGTGATGACTGATTTAGGGTGTGTTTGTCTCCAATTATTGAGCGAAAAATAGAGTAATGAATAGTATTTCTTGGAGANTTTTTGGAGAATGTGTGGTTTAAATTTAAAGAAATTTTATTGATTTATGTGTAGAATATTTTATTGGATGAATATGTGACGAAAAATTTTACTGCAGACAAACAGAGGCTTAATTAACTCTGCAGGAGTGGGTGGATTTTTTTCATTTTTTTATTTCGATAGGCCCCACATGTGAGTGGGGTGTAATACATCTATAAAAAAAAATTTCGGTGCATATGTTTTTTCCAATAAAATAACATGTCGACCACTCCCTCCAATAATTGACCGACTCCACCATTTGGTCACTGGGGATTTATCATCTTGTTTCATATCAATATTCTTGATTTCTTCATCGAAATACTCCATCTTGTCTCGTTATTGATCTCATCTCATCCCAACCCATCCATCAAATATACATCAACAGCCCGGATTCTGTAAGTAGATCTTTGCTTCTTTGTTTTGCGATTTCAATTGGAAAAAATCACCAGCGATGGAATAAGATTGTTGTAAGACTGAATTGAAATACTAATGGAAAACTGAATAATTCGATTAAGTTTGGTATTTTAGCTGGGTCTTACTTTGTACTGTTCTTATTGCGATAGGAGGAATTGAATCTTAGTAAATAATGTAAATTTCATTTTTTTGCTCGCCTTCTTATTAACACGAGGAGGGAGGGTAAAGTAGGCTGCAAACCAGAAAGAGCTGTATCAATGAATGGGCTAGAGTGCTAAAATGTTGTGAGCTGTATCAATTCTCCACTTGAATTTTCACGAATTTATTATTTAGGTGGAAAAACTAATATTTACGTTGTTCATCCAGATGGTAAATAATTTTTGGGGGTGCAATTTTACATATGGTCTTAACAGTAGATTTTAGATCTTTCCCCACATTTTTCACAAAAAAGTTGATGAAAGTTATCTGTTCTATGGGAAAATGGAGAGAAGTGAGATAATGTATATGAAAGAGCTTATTCAGAGGATGTATCTATTTGCAAACTCAAGTTTAAAATGTTTTAGTTTTAAAATTTCCACTGACCGTATGCAGAGAGAATGGCAAAGAAGACAGAAATTTTTTTATTACTAGGAGTCATGTTCTTTAAAAACTTGCACTTCTGGTTTGGTTCATAGGAAATTTGACTTAATGATTGCAATTTAAAATTAAACATCTACTAGCAGGTTGAAAGAGTGATCTTAAGATTGGCTACCAAAAGATACTTCCAGAATGGAATATCTACCAAAGGATTTCTCTGGAATGGACCGAGGGAAACTCACATTGATGGGGTCCA